AGCCTATGGCTAAGCCAGTCTTCCTACATGACATTGTATAATGTCATCAATAGAGCTGACACAAATATCCTAGAAATTTAATGGTGTGGGTCAATTTTAATATGGCACAGTGGTTATTGTTCTGGCTGCTAAAGGATTCAGATTCAATGTGTTAACCCTTCATTAACTTGTGGGAGAGACAGAAGGACATAAAGATGATTTTTCTTTTGGATGCACTCTTCACTTTACTGCTTCCTTTTTATTCCCATGACTACTTTATCACCTCCCACCTCAACTACTGCAATTGCTTTTTAACTGGTCTCCTTGCTTCCATTTTCTCTAATTCACCGTACAAACTGTTGCAGAGTAATCTTCCTAAAGTACTGCTTTGCACCATCTCACACGCTCTCCCCCTACACATTGAACATGAGATCCACATTACTCATGAAATAAAGTCCAGACTCTCTAGCCTGGTTTTTGAAGCCTTTTAAAAACAATAGTCAGGCCCCTACTTATCAGAGTTTTAACTAGGAATCCTGGCGGGTGGGGCATATTCAATTAAAGGGGAATGGAGGTATAGTGTAGGAAGACCCCACGAGAGAGTATCTGACAAAGGATGCAATCATGCTGAGAAGAGAGCGGCTCAATCTGTTCCCCCAATAATAATAATAGCTGCCAATTATATGATGTTTTCTTTTAATCAATTAATAAACATTTATTAACCACCTATTATGTGCCAGGCATTGTGCTAAGCACAATGATTCCCTAGCCTCCTTTAACTCAATATCCTGCTTTCTTGAGTGGTCCTGGAGTCTGCCCTTCAACCCAAGACCTGGATATAAGGGGTATAAAGGACTGCAAGATACTGGAACAATTGTTTCTGAATCACCAGGAAGTGCAGTCTTGATGAAGGAAGTAATTTTTATGTCCTTATCCCTTCTTCCCTACTAGATTATAAACTCCTTTTTTTTTTTAAACCAGACCCATGATTTCACTGGGTAGGGAATTCTCCAGTGAGGAAACTCCCACTATCAATGCAGATCAGCAATAGCTATTTGACTTAGGGTCAGTTTACTGAGAGCTTAAATGATTTGCCTAGTGTCATATAGACAGAGGCTAATTGAAATTCATATCTTCCTGACTCTAAGGTTGGGTAAGGATCTTGTGCCATTGTCTTAATACCTTTCTGAATCCCAAGCACCTAGCACTTCATAATAGGTCATCAGTAAAAGTTCGATGATGATGACAATTGGAAAGACAAGTTTACTTCTAGGATTTCCTTTTCTTTTAAGTTTCTAGTCTAGGATTTAAACACTTTTGGTTCCAGGAAAGAAGGACTAAATAGGGGCTGGAGTCTCAACTCCCTACTGGTATCTCCCTCCAAGCTGGGGAGGTACCCTACAGGACCACAATTCCTGAAGAAAAGAAAAGCAAGGAGAGAATCCTGGCTACTCCTTTTGATTTAATCCTTTTGTCTGCTTTTACCAGTGAGAAAGTACATTCCACTCTGAGAAGCCTCTGTGGAGGACTGGAGAGAAAGGGAATGGACTAATTTGAGTTTTTCTTGATAGCAGCAGCACAAACCTTTGGTAAACATGGACCTTCCTATTTAATCCTTGATATTAATGATCAAATGGTCTTCAAAAAAGGTTAGCCTTGTTGTTATATCTTTCAAGGAATCTTGTATCAACTTTGACATATGCACAGGCAGGCCTTGCTGCAGGAAAGACTTATTTTCTTTTTTCTTTTTTTTTTAGGCAATTGGGGTTAAGTGACTTGCCCAGGGTCACACAGCTAGTAAGTGGATTTGAACTCAGGTCCTCCTGACTTCAGGGCAGGTGCTCTATCCACTGCGCCACCTAGCTGCCCCAGGAAAGACTTTTAAGACACCATTCTATTCCACTCAATCAAAACCTTTTTTATAGTTCACAAATAATAAATAAAGTGGGATCTTGTATTTTCTACATCTTTCCATTAAGTATGTGATGGTAAACATGCATACTTCTGTGGAGCATTATTTGAGAAACAGTACCTGTTCCCTTAGAATGCCCTCATCAAGGGAATTTTCAATGTTTGAGTAGATTATTATACAAAAAAAAAGTTTTTATAGATGGGAAAGAATATATATGAGTTGCTGATGCTCTCTCAGTCATTTTTTTGGGGGGGGGTAATTAGGTCCAAGTGTTTTTTCCACACTTTTGATATCTTCCCCTCTTTCAGATACTCTCAGAATCAATTCGTTAATTGCCTCCACCTTCATTATTTCACATCCAGTACGGATTGTTTCTATTTGTACTTGGTCTAATTCAACTGTTTTCCCTATCTTTGTTTTCTTCCATGCTATTTCCACTTTGTCTATAAGAACATCTGGGATTAGTATATTAGAGTCCCAATGTGGTTCACATATACCAGCGATGTTTGCCACTGTCGTGAAGGACATCCAATTTAGTGTCCAAGTCAGAAACAGATTCCTCATAGTTGATAAGGTCCTGTTTGCAGATAGACATAGCAGTCTCCTAAAAGAGCTATATAAGCACCCAGAAGAATTTGTCCTTACTATCCAAATACACAAAATCAAATGGATAAAGAATGCCTAAGGGCAGCTATACAGTGTATATAGAACTCTGGGCCTGGCGTCACAATGACCTGAGTTCAAATTTGACTTGAGATACTTACTAGCTGTGTGACCCTGGGCAAGTCACTGAGCCCTATTTGTCTCAGTTTCCTCATCTTGAAAATGAGTTAGAGAAGGAAATAACCACTCCAGTATTTCTACCAAGAAAACCCCAAAGAGGATCATAAAAAGTCAGACATACTGAAAAACAACTGAACAACAAAGAATACCCATTACTAGGACCATGATATACAGCTCAAGGAACAACATATAGAGGACATCCATTAATATACTACATCTTGGCATAGTGCCACTGGACAATGAGAAAGGCTCAGAATTAAATAGGAGGAGGAGAGAGAGTCGAATTGCCTTTGGGATTCTGCAAAGTTCTGTTGATGACCTCAAGCTCCTCTCTGAAACAAAGACTCATATTTTTAATCCCAGTAGCCCTCCAGTGATATATGGCTGTGAGTCATGGAACACTACAGAGTCTCAAGATTTGAAGCTGCAGATAACTCAAAGGGCAGGGGAGAGGCACAGGGTAGGCCTAAGCAGGCTGCATCACATCGTCAACAAGGAAAACAAAGGATCAGATGTTGGGAGAACTTGAGAAAAGCCCCCAACATGCTGGAAGGACCACTTGTGGTGAACTTATGGGAGGATGTGGACAAAAGCCTCACAGAACAGGCAAGCATCAGTGGGTTATCTTCTGAATCATTGTAGGTAATATCCAAATAAGTTCTCAGGTGCTTTGGTTTGGTTTGGTTTGAGGAGTATTTTTTTTTTAGTTTTATGCAAGTGGGAGAACTATGGCACATGGTAAACAACATCTGACCCTGAAGAGCACTTCTGCATTCCTCTAAAGAAGGCCTCAAGAGCAAAGCACAGTTCTACAAAGACTTCGAAACCAGGAGAAAGGTTTTCTAATACTTTCTCATCCAGGCTCCATAAGACAGACATTCCTTTCCCCCTCCTTTTATAGGTATTGCCTGCATCCCAGGTACTGCCAATCATGGTACCTCTTCTACCTTTAACCCTTTCTAACACTAAGGCACCTGGAAGAGAAGAAGAAAGGAGAAGACAGGGCTGAGAGGAAGTGTGGACTTTAGTGCTCTTGAAGGAATCACCTTGCTCAGAAGTCCTAGGCAGGATATTTTCTTGGAGCCAGCAGAGAACAAAACAAACCTAATCATGCCTCAGTTTATTGACACTTCGGCAATACCTCTTTTGGCTGCTCCTTTGTTTCATCCCTAGAAGGGGAAACTTGACTTCCTCACAAACCAAAATATACCAAGAAGTAGAACTGAACCCTGTAGACCATTGAACAACAGGTGTTCTTTGATTCCAAGCTTGGAATGGGGGAGTGTGGAGATTTTGACCACCATCCTGCTTCCTAATCTAGAATTCTGTCAGCCCAGTCCAACTTCGTCTCTATTTATCTATTTCGCTCCCTTTTCTCTCTTCTCTCTCTTCTTTTTCTGTCTTCTGTCTGTCTCTCACACAGGCATGTCCACACACACACACACACACACACACACACACACACACACACACACACATACACACACACAAGTTTGGCCCAAGCTAAAGGAGAATAGAATAATATAGAATAAGACCTTAAAGTAATGACTCAGCCCTTAAAGTCAAACTATTTGCCCCACTGGGTAGAAGCCAACCAGGCAGAGCTATAATTAAGTCAGGGCAACTGTGTCTTTTCCCCAGGGCACCAATATTTAAAGCACACCTAATTTAAAATAATGGTTTTAAAAGTGTGAAATTTAAAAATTATTTACAATTATGATTAGTATGCTCACTCTTTCAGCAGTATTAAAACTAGTTAGCCAGCATATTTAGTTCACTTCGGAGGTGAACAGATGGCATGCTCCCTCCACCATCCTACTTGCTCACCAGGCCATTTCTTCCCAGCCTCTCCCCTCCTCCTCCATCTTGTTTTCTGTCCTAGAGTCTCACCTCCACAGGGCTGGTGTAATGATCTCTCATGGTTAATATAAGAATGTATTTCATGTTGCATGCCCCAGGTTCATTTAATGCCCCTTGCCCCAGGTGCCAAAAATTGTTCTGCAGTGAAGTCATTTTCCCCATGGCCAAAGTAGCTTCTCCTTTACAGACCCTAATAGAGTAGCATCTTATTTCACAGGCCACTGGCATAACTAGGTATGAAATCCCACCTGTGGAATTTTCTACTTTTTCTCCTCTTATTATTGTTATTATTTCCCATCCATACTCACATATGCCTAGAAACCAATACAATATCCCATTGTAATTTATGCTTATAATTCATCCTTATCATGGCACATGATGAAGATCTGATAGATAGCTGCTTATAACTTTGTAGACAATACTAGACCAACTCTTTAAAAAAAAATCTAAAAGTTACTTTTCATACCTCTTTGATTAACTGGATCTTTAGCTACGTAGGCAACATAGTCTGTGGTGTCCTACAAAAGAGGGAAAATCAGCGTGTTTAAAATGATTGGCTAGAACTTAGAAAAGGTTAGAGTACACATGCGCGCTTAAAGCTATTGGCTTCAAGGCTGGTGCTTCCCTTTTTCTGGGCTACAATATGAGGAAATGTGAACTGTATACAATCATGGAACATGTCAAACTCCTGTCTTCTGCTCTCTGTGCAGATAATTTTGGGAAGAGTAATTTAGAGCCAGCCAGGTCACTGAGAACAGGCCAGAACCCAGGGAAAGAGTAGGTTAGGCCCACTGAGCACATATACAGGCTTCCCCACCTAGAATCATTCATTGATTCTATAGAAAGCATGTTAGGAAAGCCAACTCTACCAGGGAGTAAGATTTTCTTTTAAATACACTCTCTGCCCCCATCCCTTTCAAAGCTAGCTCCACAGGAAGAGTGTTTCCGTTCACAAAAGAAACAATATACAGGTGGAAAGAACACTAAACCCAGAGCTAACAGACCTGGGTTCAAGTTCCAGGTCTAACACTTATTATTCATGTCACCTTGGTACAATGGAAAAATGGATCTGGAGTCAGAAGGCCTGGGTTCAAATCTTGGCTCTGCAACTTACCTTTCCTCTTGCATAAAATGAAGGACGTAAAATAGATGGCCTTTAAGATTCTTTCTACCTCTAAAACAATGATCTTCTGATCCCCAGCAAGTGGTTTTAAACAGCTCAGCCTCAGGGTCTTCATCCATGAAACGGAGATGAAAATAAGAGCTACGCAACCTAGATAGATAACTAAGTAGCATAGTGCTAGGCCTGGATTGAGGAAGACTTGAGTTCAAAGACCCTGGGCAAGTCACTTAGCCTCTATCTGTCTTAGCTCCCTCAACAGTAAAATGGGGATTATAATAGCACCTACCTCCCAGGATTGTTGTGAGGCTCAAATTAGGTAATATTTATGAAGCATTTAGCACAGGGCCTGATGCATAGTAGGTGCTTAATAAATGCTTACTTATTCCCTCTGCCCCCACCACCTACTTGGCAGGATTTTATAGATTCATGAAATTGCCAGGGATTCTTAACATGGCAGGCTGGTGAAGCCTGTGAATCACTACATATTGTTGCCTACATTAATAATGAAAGAAAGTGCTAAATTTCATTTAGAGGCAAGTAAAAATGAATATTTGTTTCCCTCCTGAGTTCACAGACTCCCTGAAATCTATCCATGAGCCCTATTCTAATCCAACCCCTAAATTGTACAGATGGGGTTTAGAGACGTGAAATGGGAACCTCTGCTTGGTCCCAGTGAATAGGTCACTGAGCCTGGAGTCAGAAAGTCCAGAGTTCAAATTCAGCATCCAATATTTATTAGCTGTGTGACTCTGGGCAAGTCACTTAACCTCTGTTTGCCTCAGTTTCCTCAACCGTAAAATGGGGATAATAATAGCACCTATCTCACAGGGTTGTGGTGAGGATCAAATGAGACACATATTGTTCTTGTTGTTCAGTAGTTTTTCAGTCATATTCAACTCTTCATGACCTCATTTAAGATTTTCTTGGTAAAGATACTGGAGTGTTTTGCCTTTTCCTTCTCCAGCTCATTTTCCAGATGAGGAAACTGAGGCAAATGGGGTTAAGTGACTTGCCCAGGGTCACACAGCTAATAAGTGTCTGAGGCCACATTTGAACTCAGGAAGATGAATCTTTCTGACTCCAGGCCCAGTACTCTATCCACTGCACTGCCTGACACATAGTAGGTGCTATATAAATACTTATTCCATTCTCCTTACCTTTATGCTCAGTTTCTTTAGCTTTAAAATGAGAGGGTTGAACTAGATTTTTGCTAATGTCCCTTTCTTTTCTAAATCTATAATCCTATTTTCTACATTAATAAGGATATACAGCTAATTAGTAGAAGGGCTCTAAGTAAACCCAGGTCTTCTGATTCCTAGTCTAGGGCTCTCTCTGTAACATGCATGACATGTCAGCCACTGTACCTGGTTATTATAAAGATGGAGCTTTGCAGGCCTTAAAGTATCAAACAAATGTGAGCTCTTCTCATTAGAAGAATTAATACCACTGGAGCTCAAGAATCAATTTACTTCCTCACCAAGCATCCAATTTGCATTTCAGCTTATTTGTTTAAAATAACAATCCAGTGGGATTTCTGCAACACTAACCATGGGATTTGGTGATGGTGTGCTAACAATATGTCATGAAAAGACATTTACCAAGATAATTTTATGGTGGTCCACTTGCCTGCATATAGAATAAAAGGACAATGAACTTGGTTCTCCCCATTTTTACAGTTGAATAAATTTAAACACCATGATTGTTGGATCAAAGCATGTCATAACTTAGACCACAATAATAGTTTTCCAATTGTCCATGCAAAGCTATCAGATAATTCAGGAAATTGTTTAATTAAAGATATATATCAGGGGACCTTTTTTTTTCAGATTAACTCAAAGAAAAGACGAGAAAGGAAGAAAAAAGAAAGGACTGCAGGATTTATAAGGAAGTAAAAATTTATGACAGGATTGAAGGAGCTCAAAAAAAAGATCTGCTGACTCTATTAAAACAAGACACTTGGTAATCTATACACACTGGAAACAGTGACATGATGAATGACAAGATTTTAATAATTAAAGATGCTTTTTGTTATCTCAGTACTTGGGGAAAAAACATGCCCATCCAATGAATAAATACTATTTGCAGATTAGAGGCATGACTCTCTAGAGAGAAGATGCAATCAGCTGGCAGGAAATAAAAACCCATGTTTGTAATACCCTCAAGGACAGTCATTTAATAACCCACTGTGAATCATACAGGAAGAGGATCTCAGGGTCAACATAACTTGTCTTAGATTATTTTAAAAAATAAAACACACCCCTAAATAAATTGCCCTCCTGAAGATAAATTTCTTCCAAATAAGTAAGATCATAGTGGCAAGCTTAGTTTTATTTTGTTTCAGAAGTAGTCAACAAGAATTGTTAACTCCTTTGCCACTGATCTTAAGCCTGGCAGGCTTAATGGGAGGGGAGGCATGCTAAAACAGAAATTTACTGAACTAAAATCTCTTCTCAAATCTACCACTGTCACACTGTGACCTTAGGCAAGTCACTTACGGTCACTGAGGCTGTTTCCTTATCTAGAAAATGAAGAGATTGGAAATGGTGGATTTCTAAGGTCCCTTCCAGCTCAAACATTCTATTAATATTTAAGGGAATACTAATAGAACCTTTCTCTCAGGGTTGTTGTGAGGACAAAATGAGATAATATCTATAAAGTGCTTCACAAACCGTATAGTGCTATATAAATGATAGCCACTATTATTATTATCAGTACTACTACTAATAATAAGTATTCCTTTTTTATTTTCATATTTCTATACTTCAGTGCATCTGTGATCTCGCTGATGTGAGTACTCCCTCCAAGGTGCAGATTGAAACCCCTCCAATCTTTCTCATTATCCACAACTCCTGGTCTATGGCTTCCCATAAATCCTCCATAAGGGGTTCACCTAACACAGTGGTTCCCAGTGTTTCTTGTTCCTCAAACTGCCTTCAACCAATAAAATGTGTTGTGAACCCCCAGGGAAATTTAATATACTACTCATGATATTCTTTATAATTATTTCCTGTTTAAGTTTCCATTAAAAGAATTTTTAGCATGAACCCCTTGAACTGTCAATACAAACCCAAACTACTGAATGGAAACCCTTGACCTTTGGATTTCAACATTGCGCAGATACCACTGGAGCAAGAGGGCATCTGTCAGTGATCGTACCCTCTTGCTGATTGTGCCCTACCTCCCATTCTGATCCCACATCTCTCTAGTGATGACCTTTATACCACCTCTCCTTCACGATGCTGTTATTAATATGCAACAGCTACTTATGCCTGCTAGATGAATTTCTTTTGCCCTTTAATTCTTCAGAGACTTACAGCATTCCATGACTTTGAGCCATATAGGAACACTGGAAGCATATTTATGTGAAAAAAAAAAGTTGGGTCTCTGTTTCAGGAAGAATCTTGGGGTCATTAAAAGCACTTTGCAATTTCTCAAAGGCAATTCAACTCAATCCATATTTGTTAAGCAGCTATTGGCACAAGGTACTGCGCTAAGCACTGGAGGTACAAAGAAAGAAATGCAATAGTTCCCACACTCAAGGAATTTATACTTTACTGGAAGAAGAAAATAGTAGACAGATCAGTACAATATAAGAAATATTGGGCAGCGCAGGGGCACAGTCAGTGGAGCACCAGACCTGGAAGCCGAAACACCTGAGTTCAAATCCAGCCTGACACTTACTAGCTGTGTGACCCTAGGTGAGTCACTTAACCTCTGTTTCCTCATACATAAAATGGGGGGATAATAATAGCACCTGCCTCTCAGGGTTGTTGTGGAAATCAAATGAGATATTTGTACAAAGTGCTTAGCACAGTGCCTGACACATGGTAAGTGCTATATAAATGTTAGTTGTTATTGCTAAGAGGGGAAAGGAGCACTAGTAAAGGAGAGAGGGATGGGAACCAAGGAAGACTTTATAAATGAAGTGGCATTTGAGTTAAGCCTTTGAGTTAAGCAGACAAGGATTCTGAAAGATATAGATGAGGACAGAAAACATTCCAAGCATGGAGAATGGCTTGTGCAAAAGCATGAAATGTGGGAGATGGTATAATAAATTTGGGGAATGGCTAGCAGTCCAATTCGCCTGAAAAGTAGAGTTTGTGAAGGGGAATAGTATTAAATAATGCTGGAAAGAGAGGTGAGAACTCAATCATGGGGAGACTCAACTGCTAGATGAAAGAGTCTGTATTTTATACCAGTGGGAACCATTAAAGATTTTGAAAAGAGGAATGACCTGGTCAGATTGGTGCCAGCGGGAGCCATTAAAGATTTTGAAAAGAGGAATGACCTGGTCAGATTGGTGCCTCATGTTTTGATAACCATGAGAAGGAGGATTTATAGAGGGAAGATACTGGAAGTTAAGAGAACCTTTAGGAGGCTACTATAGTTGTCCAGGCAAGAGATAATGAGTTCTGAACTAATGTGGTATACAAAAGGACGCAGATGTAAGAGACGTGTAGGCAAAATTAAAGATACTTGACAGCATGCAATAAATGAGCATCTATTATGTGCTTACTATGTGCTGTGCACTGTGTTAAGCATACGATGACAAACATGAAATGGTCCCTTCCTTCCCTCAAGAAGCTGACCTTCTAATGGGAAAGACAACTTGCACTTATCTAGATACATACAAGGGAACTACATATAAAATATGAGGTGACCTTGGAGGGGAAAGCACTAGCCGCTGGGGGGGCACCAGGAAAGTTCTCATGCGGAAGGCAGAGCTTTGGCTGAATTATGAAAGAAAACAGGGATTCCAGAAGGTAGAGGTGTAGTGGGAGAGCATTCCAGGCATCTACAAGAGCCACCCAAAGGCATGGATGGAGATGGGAGGTGAAACTTATCACTATATAGATTGTTCTACCTCTGCCCACTTCTCTCTGCATTGGTTCACAAGATTATCATAGATTCAGAACTGGAAAGGACCTTAAAGACCAACTAAGCCAACCCTTCATTTTACATGAAGAAACTGAGGTTTGGAAAAATGGAATAACCTGCCCAAGATCACATGTTAAATGGCAAATGCAAGATTTGAACTCAGGTCTTTCTGACTCTAAGCCCAATAGCATTCTATCTACTTACTATACTACATTGCCTCTAGAGGGGCAGGATAAAGCCCAGGCAAGGGTGAGGTCTAGGCCACATTCAACCTTGACACTGCTTATTGGAAATTACAAGTGAATTCAAAAAGCATTCTGCACTCTGAAGGTAGGGACTGTAAAATTATACTTATGTGAATTACCTGATGCTGATGGTCTATATAAAGCTGGTCTTGTCCTCCTGGGTCAGAAACTCAGTGTACTTAGTTTATGTGTTGCCCATGATCAAATAGGGATTCAGGTATTAGAGCCAGAGTCATCATATTTTAAGACGTTATTAACTTACCAAAGAACACCCCTTCTCCCCCAATTTATTCTTTAAGTGGTGATATTGTCAGAGTCAACGGATATCAGATGTTAGATGCAATGATATATGGTGCCCAGGGAAAATTCTGTTGGGGATGGGTCAGATCATGGACTTGAAGAATCACTTCCTTACCCAATATTTGTCGTGGGGCTGGACTGTTCCAATTCCCAGATCAAACGTGATGTGGGAAAGCATATCCCCCATATTCAAGCAGCCCAGCACACTGAAGTGTTTCTTCTCTTCTGGCTGCATAGGCTGAGAGGGGAGATCACCCTTCCCTACTAGGACTCCTACATCTAGGAAAGTGCTCCTTCCCCTCCAGAGCTTCCCCACTCCTGTCCCTGGAAGACCCAGAGCTCTGGAGTAGCCCTTTTCTGAGGACAGACTATGGTCTGAGATTGCTTCCCAGGCTACTTGTAGTAACTGGGTTGCCTCAGAGCTTGGCTGTAGAAATCCAGAGAAGCATACCACCCTTTCTGGAGAAGTGAAGCTCCTGAGAGGTCCCCTCTTCACAGGTAGAAAGCAATGATGGTGACTTCTCTGTTCCTTGCCATTCATCCTTGAGCTTGCCCATGACCTGCACTTAACTTTTTCCTTGAGCTAATCTTGGTCTGGAAGAGAAGCTCATGCCAGCAGACCCCATCCTTATCTGGGCTTTATCCTGGAGCTCACCTGGAGCTTCCCTTCTTTTGAGTAGAGAAATTCTAAGGAAGCACTCCCCTCCACCCATGCCAGCACCTGGGCCAAAGCCCTGTTTGCTCTGCCATATTGCTATATTATTATTGCTATATTAACTATATCATGAAAAGCAAATTCTTTGATTTGATGCTATATGCAGGGGGTCAGAAATGTCAATTTCTGAAATTGGGAAAAGCAGCACCTAGCATGATACATGTACAAGTTGTCTTGGCTCTTACAGAAATAAAATGTTTGCTAAAAATGTGGGAAAATTTATAAATCCATACTTACAGGATCACCTCCAGAAGCAAAAGAAATGGACTGCATATGGTGATTTGCAATAATCTGAAAAAATACAAGAAGCCAATTAAAACTGCACTAATGGTATAAATTAATTACTTCCCTAATTATTAACAGCCTTACATAAAGATTGACTTTGAGAAGTAAAAAGTATTCAAGGGTACTGAATTATTTGGTTTACAAATATGTTCAGGTGTGCTGCGTATTTTGCCATGTAAAGGACCACAGTGTAATGTATAGTTGGTGGAGATGTACTTACTTTACAATTCTAAAGTATCAGTGAAACATCATCTTCTGGCATATCCTAGTCTACGCTCTGTTTTTGTCTGAGGATGCCTGACATTAACACATCTTCCTAGGTGATAAAATCTCTGGGAACAGTTTCAAGAAAATTGTTTGCATGGAACTATGGTACCTTTTTGTAGAACTATTCCTCGGAAGAATACTTGTTCAAGATGTATTGAATCATTGAGGTTTGGGCAAATCATGCATCTATATATTATTTATTGGTATTTGACTGACACCTGTTTCTAACAAGTTATATAGAAAGATACTCAGAGAACCCTAAGAGATCACTGTCATTAAACAAATAATTTTAGCAGCAAAACTCTACCTCATTGTATCAGAACACATTCTCAAGGCTTATGTTTTTTTGAAGCATCTTGCCATGTGAAATAGGCTTTACTATGGTGGGGATGGGTGGGGTGGAGGAGGAAAGAGAGAGAACAAGCATTTATTAAGCACTTATTATATGCTAAGCATATGTACTGTGCTAAACACTTTACAGATATTATCTCATTTGATCCATTAAGAAACCTGTTGCCAATATGTCTGTATTCATTTCTCCCTAAGACATTCCTCCCTAATTACCCTCCCCTGTCTATTCCTCCCTAAAAGCCCTCTTGTATCATAGGCTAAGAACTTGGTTTCTTTGGAAACCAAAACATAGTACAGCATGTACTCTTCTTGTTTGAATAAAAACACATTTTAGGAAAAGCCATGTAAGAATGATCCAATAACTATGAGACATCATTATATTCAATCTAGTGAATAAAATATCCATATTCTGAGAAGATTACAGTAAATTATGTATCAATATCTATCTCTTTATCTCATTCATTCAGTTATAGTTCTCCCTGCTTCCTGCCTGCTCATTTCAATGGCAGCCAAGCTGTCCTAAACCAATTGTACCATCTGGTGGCCAATATAGGGAACCTTCTGACCCCAAATCTCTTCCCTAGTGTGGCAGTATAGTGTAGGGTATAGGACACAGGGCTAGGAATCAGGATACCTGAGTCTGAATCCTCCTTCTCATACTTAATAGTTGTATGATCACATGCAAGTCACTTAATCTCTGAGCATCAGTTTTCTGATCTATAAAATATATATATTTTAATAACACTTGTACCACCAACTGTGGGATTGTTTCAAGGATGCTCTTTTGTAATCCTTAAAGTACTATATAAAGATAAATTCTTATTCCCCATCACCCCTTTTCTTCCCCAATCAAAAGGATTATGCAAATGTTATACCCATCATCTAGCAAAATTCTGCCTTTCACCATTCATAGCTCAGTCCATTTCACTACAGGAAACTTTTTCACACACACACACACACACACACACACACACACACACACACACACACACCTCTTTAATGCCCTTCTTTCCCTGTGTCTTCTTGCCCAGTTACCTCAGAGAGCCCTTTTCAAATCCTGAGATTATATAAAAAGTTGTAAAGTGAAATTAGAATTTAAAATCTTTGATAATACTGAGAAATTCCCTTCAAAATTTTCACAGAAGTTTCCATATACATTTTCTTGCTCTTTTCATTAAATCAACTTTCTTCCTTCTTGGAATTTGGGATGAATAAAATAAAATTATTTTTCTATTAACTGGTTTTGTCTTGTTTATTCACATTATCCTCCACTAGAGTCCCACTGTAACACACATGCCCCTAGCCTGGAGGTGATTCTGAGTTCTTGAAGGTTATGCCAGTGAAGCAAAAGTTTTACCAGATCCTAACAAAGCTGGAAAGGCTGCCAGTAGAGACCTGGTAATGTACTCTGTCTTTGTCATCTCAGGCCTATTCTAAGTTCAGGAAGGCTCATCCCAAAGTGTTGACCAATAGGTAGTGATTTTTAGCTACTACTGTTAATGATTTCATTGTTTTATTCTCTGTTGGTAAAGAAGTACCTACACTGAGGATATAACATTTCATATAATAATAATTAATAATAATAGTAATAGAACACATTTATATCATGTATTAAGATTTACAAAGTGCTTTCCTCAGAATGACACCGTGGGGTAGGTATTACAAATATAATTCTATTTATGCCACCACCTCCCATTTTTGGTGTAGACCTGTGATTTCATTCATGTAAGGAACTCCCACTATGAAATCTCCCTCTACCAGTATGTTTTTGCAACAAGCCTTCAACCTACAGTACTAGATAATTGCATAGACTGAGAAATTAAGTAATTTGTCCATGATCACACCACTGTACATCTGAAGCAAGCTTTGAATCTAATTCTTCCTAACTTCCAAGGCTAATTCTCTATCCCTTATATCGTAGTGCCTCTTTCTACTAACATGAGGTATCTTGAACATGAGTTCAAGCTCTGATCACCTCTCCAATAGACTTTTGTAATAGCCTCATAATTGGTCTTCTTGCTTTCAGTCTTTCCCTCTGTCCAATTCATCATCTGTAGCTTTCAAAATAATTTTCCTACGAGGTCAAAAATCTTAAAGTGGGTCCCAATGTGCTTCTAGGCTTAAATCTAGCCTCTGAAATTGACCCTTGCAGCTTTCTACCATACTCTAAATTCCAGCCAGATAGACTACTTCCTCATATGTAACATTCTATCTCATACCTCTGTGAATTCTCACAATCTGTCTACCATGCCTCGAATGCACTCCCTCCGTAGCTCCTCTTGTTAATATCCTCATCTTCCATCAGGGGTTCAGCCCAGATGCCATGTCCTCTCCATCACCTCATCTTCTCTGACCCCACCAGTTGATAGTGTTCCGTCCTTCCCCATATTAGCTTGTATTTACTTATCTGGTTCCTCAGTAGAATGTAAGCTCCTTAAAGGCAAGGATGGACTTTTTTTGGTTGTTGCTAGTATACTAGTTCCTAGTACAGTGCTTTTGCACATAGTAGGTGCTTAATCAATGTTTATTTGATTAAATTAAATGAACTTGGCAAGACTTCATGAAGAGGGTGATATTTGAACTGGGCCTTGAAGGAAGAAAAGAATTTTATAACAGGTAGTGATAAGGAGGTTGTTATTTCATGGAACTATAGTCAGGAATGCTGCCATTAGTAAATTGACAGTAACAGAAAAACGTGGTAGCAGATCCCTCTCTTTCCCCAGGGTAACAGATGCCAAAAAAAAAAAAAGAGGGACTGAACCAGGACACTGGCCATCCAAGTTAATAGTTCTTTTACTCATAAAGGAATAGGGATAGGAGCTAGATTAGCTAGGTAGGGATAGGAGCTATGATTTCATTGGTAAAGGGAACAATGAGAAACTCCTGCCAGTGGAAGTCAGCTCCTTCTTCGTATCTTGTAATCACAGAGTTGCCTGTATCACATTTTTATATTAATCTCTCCTCTCCAAAAAGAAGTACCATGACCACGCCATAAGGATGACCATTCCTGGAGTACATAGACACATAAGCAACAGCAATTATGGACAATTCCCTCTGGAAAGAGGCATCAGGAGAAGAGCTGGCCCAGAGGGATTGGCCATACAATCAACAAAACCAGGAATTAAGCAGTAGCTATCCTTTCTGCTTTAGACATAGGGCGGTAAGTGTAAGAAAGAGTGGAAGGAAGGCTCACTCTCTGTTGATTTGGAATGGAAAGTACTCCAGTAGTTGGTCTGATTTATTTTGAAGTCAGCAACTAGGCCTTGAAATCTCATTAGTCTAGAAGTCCTATAACTCAAGATTTCAAATTAGAAAGGACCTTGCAATTTCTCATTTTACAGATGAGGAAACTGAGGCCCAGGGTGGTTAATTGAATTATCCAAAGTCACATAGGTAATAAGGGGAAGAGTCAGGATTTGACCCCATGTCTTCTGAATTTAAATCTAGCACTTATTTTACTTCATCACATTGCTATTATACACTACAGAGCTATAACTAATACATCTTGCACCCAGGGCAAGCAACCTCAACAGATGCCCTGGGACAAGTAGCATACAGGGGATTTTAAATCAACTTTATAAGACAAATTTGGTTGGATAGGGAAGAAGAGACCTTAGGGGAGAACCCAGATGTTAGACAAGATCCCACATAGGGAAGAAAAATACCACTGTATCTAGCTGAGGGTAGGGAAGGCTGCCAATATGGAAGAGCGCAGGACAGGGGCAGGCAGAAGAGTAGCTCAAGCTAGAGTGTGTCTGCCAACAATAGAAGTAGGAAACAGGCCATCTGGTAGGTTCATATTTTAACATCTGGCTACCTAGGAGCTAACCTTAGCTATTTCTATCTGTTAAGGAAACATGTGACATCACCTACATACACACACACACACACACACACACACACACACACACACACACACACACATTTTCTGGTGCCTGGAGCAAAGACTGCTATGGTCTGCCATGATGAGCTAGAACTTAACTAGATCTTTTTCATTAGTTTAAATCGTTTATGCCATCTTTGGGGATCTTTTTATTTATTTTTTGTCACACTTTATACACTGACACAGGTTGGAGAATGAAAACATAAGGGAGATCTGGGACGTGTCTCAGCCTAAACTGGGGAAATTTTGAAAAGACCTTCTAAATAAGGCCTTTACTGACCATGCTACACTATCCCACCCCCAACCCCAGTTTCCAGTATCTTTACCACAAAATATATGTATTTGTCATCTCCGCCAGCTAAACTACAAGGTCGTTGAAGCCTGGCACTGCTTTTGATTTTGTCTGTGTCCCCAACACCTAGCACAGTGACTATAGTAGGCACTCATTAACACTTATTCATTGACTTATCCAAGACAGTATATATCTGTTGAATTACTAAATTTT